ACTCATCAACATTTGACAGAGATAGATTATTCTCAAAGCCACAAATTCCTATATGTTTTGTGAAAATGGTGTGCTGAGTACAAGAAAATAGTTATTTTCATGGAGAAGGGAACAGCTAGGGTTATCCACTTTATTAAGAGGAGTGAAAAAGTGAGAAGTGAAATAGTTTCCAGGGTCTTGCCATCCAAAAAGCGCATCTCTGCTTTTGCACCTTGTCTTGCCAAAAAGTTAACAGAGATAAGGAAGAGGCATTTTGCACTAGGGCAAGATAAGGACATGGGAGCATGTCGTGGCTACTGTAAAGAGGATTTAAATGCAGAGAGTGTAAATTAGGGTATTGCAATAAAGGCACCATGAGAAAACAGGACACAAATCCACAGAAAAAGAACAGTTTGTACGTAGTCCCCGTGACAGAGCGACTCTGTGTTGGTGGAAGATAACAGGCTCTATGCACAGCGGATATAAAGTGAGGTCCTTTCCTTGAACTCAGTGAACTTCAGCAATGGGGCTGCCTAAAATCTGGTTTTATATCTAGCCACTATCAAAACTGGGACTCTTCAGACAGCCTAGACAGAGGAGAAAAAGAAGATAAGGGACCATAAGCAATTTCAGAAGAGCTCTTTATCACTGCTATTCTGCCAGCATGGCTTGCTTTGTTTGTTCCTTTTAAAAATTCTTTTCTCTTGGGACATGTCCAGATATTTCAGGTAAGAAGGGAGCCTTTCAGCTGCCAGGAGTAGCAGGTTAGAGAGAAAGTGTTTTGCTCTTGGAGACTTAATTTGTAGCGAAGGACAGGAACAAGGCTTATGTGAACCTCTACAGATGGAGGATGACTAGAATGGTTTCAGTGCTAGGTATAATTTTAACATTGCATCAGAAGATTCTGTAATGATAAATATCTATAGTTTCCTCCTTGTTATGAAATTTGGCCTTTCTCTGACAGAGCTGTTCTTTTTCAGTGGATGCCAAGACAGATCCATCCTTAGGTAGATGAGGCACCTCCCTCAGCTTCAACAATGTTAAATTTAAACTTAGGTGTCATGCATGAGCTTCATATGAAATTCATATAAAATCCACGTTGTGGATTCAGTTGAAATCAGTACTCTGTTTTTTGAAGTTCATTTCACAAGGACAGTACAAGGTGGATCCTGTGATAGCAAGCTTGCAGTCTAAACATGAGTTTTATCTCACTTTTACAAGAAGAAGCTTGAGGCAAAGACATAGGGATTTGTCATGTGCCTTTTCATAAGCAGCCACTGTGGCTTCCCTGTGTTTTGAATTGCTCCGGAGCTGCACAGCTATGCTGGCACTGTTCAAAGCCTGCAAGAACATGTGCCAACCCTCAGCTGGAATCCTTCACTCTGATTTGGAAAGTGGCTAAGGGAGGCTGCATAGCCACCGGTCAGCCCTTTGCCCAGATGGCAGAGTTGGTTCACGTCTACTCCAAAAGACCACATAGATCCTATGGGGAATACAAGCTTTAGGCATTAAATAGGCAGCTGTATAGGCTAAGCTAGTTCTTAGCCTTGTTCTACTGATTGTAGTTAGTGGAGAGATGGAAGTACACTCACAGTATGATTCCCCACCAGCAGCACCTTAAAAATGGGATTATCCCTACCTAGAAAGTCTCTTTCAATGAACTACAGAGGAAACTTTGCTTAGCTGAGTAGAGTAAGAAGGTAAGTCTTAGCCATCTGAAGTTAAACCAATCCTGGAAAAAAAAATAAAATAATTCCAATAGTTGAATGACTACTCTGGGTTTCCTCAAAAGTCAGTGACAAGGGATAGCAGGTCCCAAAGGATCATCCATCCCACTGTGGAGGAGGTGACTAGCTGAATAAGATGAAGCACTACTCCACCCATGCTATGAACAGGGCATAAGTAGTTACCCAAGATCAGATGCCAGGCTTTACACCAAACCAAGATGAATCCCACAAAGTTTACCAAACATGGATTTCAGTCTGCAGGTCGAAGTGCAGACGTGGGACAGGAAGGCAGAGTTTGTGCTTTCTGCAAGGTGCCCTGTTTTCAAGACCATCCATCAGCAAGACCACCACTTTTTACTCTGGCTCACACGAAATCTCATCCCTTAAAACTCTCTGTTGTTATTACTGATTTCTAACGTGCTAAGAACGAGGAAAATTTGCCTACTTGAAGCTGCACCTTGCTGCTTGTGACGTCTGAGCTATCTCTTTCAAAGCTAGCTTGGGCATCCCTGCATCACATGGCAGTGGAGACATACCGTCAGTGGTTGAGGAGAACCCTGCTGTGCAGTTTCACGCTCAAGTCACATTGATTTCCGTGGGCAGGTTTCACCCAGCAGGAGATGTTGGCTGTATCATGGTTTACAAATGTAAGGGGATCGTGCACGCTGGCCTTTATTACATTTAATTTTTTTTTCATTCTTTTCTTTGCTCTTATAAACTGCTTGTTTCAAATCTGCTTTTCCAGGCAGCATCAGGCAACGTTCTCATTGATTATGAATTTTCTCCAATCTCCATCACTCGCTTATTTTAGTAACTCAGGCAAATTACTTGACTCTGCTTCTCTATCCCTGTCTTTCAACGTCAGCACATCAGTGCTTTCTAGCATAATTAACTTAAAATGCCTTTTTAAATGGGGCTATTTTTTAGCTTTGCATGGTATTACCACAAAACTAGCCACCAGGTATAATTGAATTTGAAACACAGTGCTATGAAATATTTATTCCGTGTCTACACTTCATTTTCTGCAGTATGAGGATTGCCTGGCATTTCTCTAGGTTGGTTTGCAGTATCTGTTGCTGTCCTAGTGTTTGGAAGACAACTGATGGTGAAGTAATAGGAAGAAATAGGAAAGCTTTCCCTGTTCTTGTCAAACTTATTTAGTTTAAGCGAGCAAGGCTAGCAGGTGGTTCTCAGAAGATCTCATTAGCCGCTTTGATTGTCTCTAACACCTCTTGTAAGCAAATGTCTCATTACCATGGATATTTACATATCCTTTACTTTCGTACAGAGTGCCATACATCAGTGAACTATAAACCTATTGCTACATGTCTTCAGATTTACGTGGTAAATACAGTTCCTACTGCGTGGACCGACACTAGCTATCAAAGGCAATAAAATTTAATAGCGCTCAGTGTGATCTTGATTTCCATCTTCAGTACATTGATTGTATCATAAAACTTTTCAAACCCAAGTCTCTGAGCCTTTTTGAGAATCACAATATTCATGCAATGAGATCCCCATCTGGCAAAAGAAGCAACCTGGGGTAGGAATGGAAGAAAGAGAGGGGAGAGGGAAATGTGAAGGATTCCATTTTTCTGTGATGAATTAATGAGCATTTTTGCAGTAATATTGTATTCTGATGGGTCTGGCAAAGCTGGGGGATTTTTAGCTTATAGGTTCAGGATTTTATTTGGTTATTAATTTACGTTATGTCATCTAATGCTACATCCTTTATTTTAAAAGAATGATTATCAACTGCTTATCATATGCCATCATTATAACATCTTAAGAGTGTTGTTTGACCCTGACCTAGTTCTTCAAACACTATAGCACTCAGAACTGCCCTGTCCACCACACATGGTAGTATCTGGCTTATATTTTGTGAGAAAACATAGGGCTTGATTCCCTGCCACTGAAACTGATGGAAAAAATACACCAAGTCCAGGGCTGTGAGCATACATTATCCACTGATGGAAATCTGCTCCTATCACCAAAGCTGATAAAGCCCAGACTGTGTTTACAAATTGATCACCCAAACCTCATTACATTGTACTTGTGCCAGGCTGAAAGTATGACACTTTGAAATATTATCTACTTTTACCGAAGATCTTATTTTTCCTGGCACATTGTCAAGGAGAGAGTATATCAACAGAAAACCACTTAGAAAATCGTGGAGCTTGTGGCTTTTAACAGTTGATAAGATTATATACTCTATCTCAGCATCAAATGCAAATGAGTAGTGGAGATATTTATATTTAGTTTTTCATTCTTTTCCTGCTGAGGTAGAAGATGATTTCCATTTGAGATTCCTTCACTAAGTCATTTATTTAAATATTAGTAGGAAATTTGAGAGATTGCTCTGAGTTTTTCTGCACACTGGATAAGTCTTTTAGGTTTCTGAGCTGGTAAGACAGTGGTTTGCAGCACTACAGGAGGGCTTATGCTTCTTGAAAGCCAGTCATAGTTTGTCACATCTCTGACACAGTGATCAGAAAGAAGCGAGATCTGGGCTTCTTTGTGGTATTTACAATAGCACTGGGGTCTGAATTTCTCCTATATCCTAACAGAACACAACTCCCATCCACAATCCCATCACCTCCTCTTTCTGCATGCATGTAACAAAAGACTGGTTCTTTACCTCTCAGATCTTTCGTTCAAATCTTGTTACCTGAAGCCCAATCCCTGAACAATTGTTAAAGGTCTGTCTTTAGCTCATGCAAGAAAGCATTAGAGGTCAAATTCGTCCTTTTGATATTGTGAGTTTATACTCTGTAGAGCAAAACCTGCAGTAAAGATATTCAAAGATATTACTACGGTTCTTTACTGATGGAGGACATTTCTACTTCCAATAATTTTTGTAGGAAAACGAACATAAAGGAGGCGAGCTTCCCTCACATATCCACAAAACTGGCTGTAGAATGAAGCAGAATCTCTTTTTCAGTTTCCAGTCATGTCCTTGGATCGAATTCCAAAATGTGCCAGTACCCAACTTTTGACCAGGATGAGAGCCAACAGAAATTAACATTTAATGAATTGGGACTAAGAAATGTCATCTTCTGCTAGGGTAGAGTCTGGTCATTATTGTGTCATGCAACTACATATTTTTTGCTATTCCTGTGAATGACAATTATTTTATTCCAAGGAAAGCTTATTAAAAAATGATACTATTTATTATTCTAAACAAGCTCATTTTTATGGGTAGAATAAAGAACCAACTATAAAAAGCAATAACAGTGTAAAGAAAGGAATGGATTTCCACCACTAATGTATTTTATCTCTCCTTCTCTTCTATAGGTTGCCCAGGAATGTGGGATAACATTACATGCTGGAAACCTGCAAGTGTGGGTGAAATTGTCTTTGTCAAGTGTCCTGCACTGTTCAGATTTATCATCTCTGAAGACGGTAAAGTATTTTCTCTTTGTTCTTTGCTTCTGTCTGATAAATCTGCATAGCCAGAGTGAGTGTAAAACATCACTTAGATACTCCACATCAAGGGAAATCAGAAACTCTACAGAGATCTGGAGTTAGGCTTTAGTGTAAAAAAATACTGTAGAAAATTGAGATGTTTGTGTGTAGGTATGTGTATGTGTGTTTATGTGTGCAAGGGAGGGAATATGAGAAAAAAGCCTTCAGAGGCTATACAACACGAAAACATCACCAACTTTAATTGCTAAATGGGATGTTCTGTCCTTGGATCTCCACTGAAACCAATGAGACTTGAAACTGTGTCTGGGTCATCACAATTCAAACCTATTTTGAAAAATAACTAAAATTCAGAGCGGGGCTCTGCTCATGTCTAAGGAGAACATAGGCATGAGATGATCAATGTGAGGAACTCCCATGTTGGGAGTCCAGGAAAGAGTCAGAGGGAATTAAAGATTCCTGGAGATTCCTAATTTTTGAACGGGGAAAGATAAGTCCCTCTTTAAATTACCAGGTATAAAATTATAATTACTACTGTAATTCTCTGTGCTTTAATTATAGCCAGTATAATTAACATAATCTTTACTGCTGTAATATTGGTTCAGTATTGACTCACTGGGTACAATGGCACCTACTGACCCATCCACGTTTAGTAATAACAGAAAAAACAACACATCAGCATCCAGTAGGGTTTGTATCCAGAACGGGTAGGGAAAATTCTTCCCTCTTTCAGTTTTTTTTGGTGTTTTGTTTTTTTTTTTTCCCCAGTTCTCCATGATTCTGTAATCAATTTTTGTTAACTACATGTCATTCAGTCTGATCATCAAACCAGTTGTGGTCATCCTTTGCTCAAGATATGGACTCAACCAGAAGTTTTTGCTATCCAGTTATCAGTAATGCTTGCAGCCTGCAGGCAAAATACTTTTATGTTATTTATTGTGCATCAGCAGATGGCTGATATGTTGTTATCTTCTGATATAACTGCAGGAAGCCTGCTGCTCAAACAGCACCTGTCCGAATTTCCATTAGGACCCCTCCATTTCAGTGGCTTATAACCTACACCCCTTACATATCCTTAAGCTACAGGGTGCTAATGCATGGGAC